ACCATTTCTAAGTGGTTTGTTTTCCCCTTTGTACAAAAGACAGATCTGGGGGAAACATAAAACTGGCTTGGGAGAAGCTTTCCTTCTTTTCGGATTGTAATAAGTTTAGAAATAAGTATAAAGCAGTGAAGGGCAGGATCTTTCCCTGTTAAACGCTGTCCATCAAATGTATTTGACCACAATATATCCAAATATATTACATTTGGATAAACATATGTATGTGTGTATGTGTGTATGTGCATGTGTGTATATGTATATGTATATGTGTGTGTCTATACATATGTGTGTATATATACACATATATATATATACATATATATATATACATATATATATATATATATATATATATATATATATATAATATAATATCCAAGGTGTTATTGGTAAGTGTGAGTTATCATTTCTGTTTTACAACTGTCACAGTGTTGTATACTGGATGCTAAGTTCTGCATGAAGTCAAGTTGCAAGAAGTATTTATTATGCACCTACTGTATGCCAGGCACTGTGCTAAGTGCTGGGGATACAAAGAAAGGTGAGAGGGATCAGATTTGAAGTCCGTGTTCTAATCCTGCCCTTCACATTTAGTAGCTATGACTATGGGTAAGACCACTCACAGCTTCAGTTTTCTCATCTGTTAAATGATGGAATGATGTTTACATTATCTACCCTATAGAGTAATCACTTTGCAAACTACATGAAAAAGATGATTTGTCAACTGAAAGGGGCTATATGAATGGGAACTATCATCCCCTGGATCATGGACGTTACTTTTACCAAAAAGACATCAGCAAGGACTAAAACTTTGGCTTCCTTCTAATGTATCTCCAAAAGAATGGTCTATGTACACATTGAAGGTATCCTTAATGAAAACATGATAAGGAATGAGGCGGGAATTTGCCTATGATTTTCTTCAAAAGAAGGGATGTTTTTCCTCTGGATTTTTTTTTCTTGATTTGGACCTGTAATTTCATTAATGTTGGAGAAACTGTAGCTTTGGGAGTTCCCTGGGGCCCTGAGGGGTTGTGACTTGTCCAATGTTTATACGGTTAGAGATTATAAGAAGCAAGATTTTTAATCGAGGGTTTCTGGCTTCCAAAGAAGTCCTGTCACTATGATATCCCACTATTCCTTGGGCATTCTAAATGTGACATGCCCTGTGGGTACCTTATAAACAGTAATTCTTAAATCAGCATGTATTCATGATAACTGTCTACAAGTATCTGAAGGCTTGTCCAGTGAAAGAGAGATTAAATTTGTTCTACTTGGCCAGGGAAGGTAGTTTTAGGAGACATTATGAAAATACACCCTCGGGGCAGATGGCTAAATTGGATAGAGCACCATTCCTGGAGTCGGGAGGACCTGAGTTTAAATTTGGCCTCAGACACTGACTAGCTGGGCAAGTTATATAACTTCGGTCTGCCTCAGTTTCCTCATCTGTAAAATGAGGATAATAATAGCACCCAACACCCAGGGTTGTTGTGAGGATGAAATGAGATCATATTTGTAAAGTGCTGTGCAAACCTTAAAGGGCTATATAAATGCTAGCTATTGTTATTTTTTTATTATGGTTCTGAGGCATATCATCTTCAGAAGTCAAAAGTGACAAATGTGGAAACCCTGCTAAATGCAAGACAAAGCATTCCTGAGAAGGCTAAGGGATGTCCTAGTACTGCTGGGGCTAGTCAAATGAGGCCCCTAAAAATGAAGTCCCACAAATTCAGGCATGGATTCCATGAGAGGACAACCCCTGGAACCAAAGGAACAGTTGTCATAGCATCAGGATTGTCCTGAGGATTCAACTGTTTGTTAAAATAAATGTTCTGAATTTTTAAAAAGTTAAAGAACAATAAAGGATGTAAATACCAGCTTCAGATATATCCTACGGCTGGTACATCCCCCTCATGCAGATAATTTAGGAGAGCCGTCAAAATGCACGATTAATTATAAGGTGAACTGCACAAGCAAGAATGAAAAAAGGACATATGGTTTAGTGGAAAATCAGAAAAGGCGGCCAGTCAACAAGCATTTATTAAGGACTTACTATATGCCAGGTGGGGTCAGGGAGGACTAGCATCTCTGGTGTGAGGGCTGCTCATCTACCTTTGGTGTCCACCTGTCACACAGCTCTCACCTGTGGCTCCAAGAAGCTGCTGTATGCACAGCTGCCACACCCTGGCAAACGGACTTGGCAGATGGGCCAAAACAGGTTATGGCTAACCAAGGGGTCTCAAATCTGTCGGTGAAGCAGGGGGAGTCTACCCCAAGCGTGTGAAGACTTCCCCCGGTGGAATGGATGGATAAGAACAATTTGTTGCAAAGGCCACGAAGGCGGCTGAAAGCAGGCGCCGTGGAGCCCTTAGAGCTTGGTCAGATGCTGAAGATACCAAGGGTACCCACTGCATCCTGGGCCATCGCCAGTCATCTTGACTTTTGTCCTGCCACTGGACTTCAATGACTGGAAGAGAGAGTGAGGCTGAGGGCCAATTCACTCCAGAGTCAAGACATTGCCCCATGATGTCATTGTTCCTCTTCAAAAACAAAGGTCAAACATGTGCCAGGCATGGTGCTAAACATCAGGGATACACAGAAGACAAAAGACCAGTTCCTACCCTCAAGGAGTTCACAGTCTCCTGGAGGAGACAGCATACAAACAATTATGTATAGACAAGATATACACAGGGGATATTCTCAGAGCAAAGGCAGTAGGGTGAAGGAGGACTTGAAAAGGCTTCTTGCAGGAGGTTAGAGATGAAGAGAGAGAACATTCTAGGCGGGAGAGACAGCCAGTGAAATTTCTGGGAGTGTGGAGAGAGAGAGAGTCAAGTTCAAGGAACAAGGAGGCCAGTGTCACCGGATCTGAGTACATGGTGGGAGGTGTAAGGTACAAGAAGACTGGAAAGGTAGGAGAGGACCAATTTATAAAGGGCTTTAAATGCCAAACAGTTCAACTTGGAGACCCAGATCTGACACTATCTATCTGTGTGACCTTGTGAAAGCTATTTGAATTCTCTATTTTAGGGATGATGCCATGCTTATCAGATTTACAGAGGGCACAAAGATGGGAAAGAGAGAAAACAAACTAATGACAAAGATTTCCAAAAAGATCTCAACACGCTAGAACTGTAGGCTGAAACTTATAAATTGTCTGCCCTTATTGGAGATGAATGTAAAGTCATAATCTTGGATTCAACAAATCAACAGTAAAAATCTAGGTTTTTTTGGAGGAGGCATGGCTAAATGGATAATTCATTTAAGGAAAATGGCTTTTTTTAGTGGAACAAATCTGATTTTAGATTGCATTGAGAGGATTAATAATAATAGCTGGTATTTCTATAGTTCCTTAAGGTTCGTAAAATGCTTTACAAATATGATCTCATTTTATCCTTACAACAACCCTGGGTGGTAGAGATTATTGCTTCACATTTCACAGATGAAGTAAGTATGGCCCCTGGGAAAGGCTAAATAATTTGCCTAGGGTCACACAACACTTAAGGTTTGAAGTCAGAATTTGAATTCAGGTCTTCCTGATTCTGTGTCCAGGGATGTTGCCCACTGCTCTCCCTTGCTGCCTTCATCAAGTAACAGCTGGAGTGTTATGTTCAGCACAGAGCATCACATTTTAAAGTGTACAATGACAATCAGGAGTGATTCTATTTCTTTCATTTTTGGGGGAGGGTGAGGCAATAGGGTTAAGTGACTTGCCCAGGGTCACACAGCTAGTAAGTGTCAAGTGTCTGAGGTCATATTTGAACTCAGGTCCTCCTGACTCCAGGGCCAGAGCTCTATTCACTAATCAGGAGTGAGTCTAAAAGAGAACCACAAGAGGATTGTAGACTACATCCTAGGAAGATTGTTTGATGGAAGTAGGAATGGAAAAGAGAAACTTCTCAGTGGGGGACCTGAGAGCTGTCCTCAAAAACCTGCAGGATGGTCACGTGGAAGAGGGCTTAGCCTTGCTCTGTCTGATCCCAGAGGCCAGAACCAGGGACGCTGGGTAAAAATTGCAGAGAGGCAGATTTCTGCTCAATGTCACAACAAGCCCATGTTCATGGGGGAAAAAAAAAAGACGGGATATTCAGAGAAGAAGCTTGAAGGATAGGGGCAGCTAGGTGGCGCAGTGGATAGAGCAGGTCAGGAGGACCTGAGTTCAAATTCGGATTCAGACCGAACACTTGACATTTCCTAGCTGTGTGACCCTGGGCAAGTCATTTAACCCCAACTGCCTAAAAGCAAAAAAAAAAAAAAAGAAGCAGCAGCAGCTTGAAGAATGAGCAAAGACAGTCCGTTGGGTGGATCTCCTGTGGTGGACATACGGGAGCATAGTGACAGGTTTCACAGAATGTGCAGGCATGGGGGGAGGGGAAGAAGGGAAGAGGCAGCGTGGTAGATTGGATAGTCAGGGATAGCTGAGTACACGTTCCGTCTCTAAGGAATTCTAGCCTGATTTTACAAATGAGGCAACTGAGGCAGAAAGTGACGTCCCCAGGTAACACAGCTAAGCAAGCGTCTGAGGTCGCATTGGAACTCAGGTCTTCCTGACTACACTGAACTACTAGGAACCTAGGTACTCGGTGGAGGAGTGAGGGTTAAGGGGTGCTGGGGACACATAACTGCGACCAGGATTCAGAGCAGCAGCTGGACAGAAGAGGATAGGGTGGAAACCATGTGGATCAACGACTCGCGCAAGCGCGGTTAGCCCCGACACTTAGGGTTGCCTTAGACGCGCCTGACGAAAATATTTAATTTGCTCTGGGAGTTCCTAAGACTTTATAGTAAATTTGTACTCTTCTGCAGGAACAGAAAATTACACGAACGCATCTTATTTGCCTAACTTCCGCAGCAGGAACCAAGTATTTCCTCTTCCTTACACGTAATAGGTTGTAACAGCGCTCCCAGAAGAACCGAGGATTTTTTTTTCTTCACACAGGCATCGCTTTAGCCTCCCGCCCATTTCAGGAAGGGGGCCTGACGAGGACCCCGAGCCGGCGGCCATTTTGGCGCCTTCGCTGAGGTGCCGCTCGCCGCGCTCGTCGCCGCTGCCCTCCCCTCCCCTCCCCCCAGAGTTCGCTGGTGTCCGTCACCGCCTCGGCCGCCGCCGGGTCCTCGTGGCTCCTCCGGGAAAGCAAAGATGAACGTGATCGACCACGTGCGGGACATGGCGGCCGCGGGGCTGCACTCCAACGTGCGGCTCCTCAGCAGCCTCCTCCTCACTATGAGCAACAACAACCCGTGAGTGTGACCCAGCGTGAAAGGTCCGGTGGGGGGAGGGGAACGGAGGGGGGAGGGCCCCTGGAGGCGGGGTCAGGGGCGCGCACCTGAGGGGGTGTGGCTAGGTGGGGTGCTCGGGCCAGGAGAGGCGAGCTTAGTTGATGGAGGCGGGGTTAGGAGGCGCGCGCCTGAAGGGGTGGGAACTCAGGAACATCTGAATTGGGAGAGGCTGAGGGCCTGAAGGGGCGTGGCTAATGGTGGCTGAATGAGGGGGCGGTGCTAGTACGCACTGGGCCGGGAGAAGGGCGGGGCCAGTGAGCAGCCTGGACAAGGAGAGGAGGCGGGGTAAGGGAGCGCGTGCCTGAGAGGGCGGGGCCTTGGGAGGTGGGCTGGTGGGATTTGGACGCGCCTGCGCGCGCCCGTGAGGCGGAGTTCGGGATTCGGGTTAGTGGGGTTAGGGTTGTCAGGTAGTCTGAGCTGAGAGGGGGTGGAGCACTGGAAGTGGGGCGTGACCGGGATAAGGGGCGGGTCCATGGGTGTAACTGGGACTGGAGGTGGGGCTCTGGGAAGGAGCACGGCTCAGGTGAGGGGACCAGAGTTTGGGAAAGGGGAGGGGCAAGACTAGGGGCAAGTCTCTGTACCCCTTGGCATGAGTCTAGACTGGAGCACGCTGGGGGCGGGGGTGGGGCAGTGCAGAGAAGACTCTTTGGGAAGGAGTTTGGAACCTTAGTTGTGTTGCTTTTTGTCTCACGCTTTCATGTCTCTTTAGTTTCCAAGCCTAGTAGATTGAATTTCCACATCTCTCCTTTTTTCTCATGGTGGTCATGTAGCCAAGTGCCACCCCAGTGCCTCTTGTCTGTAACATAAGGCAAAACTAAATGTGCTGCAAAATAAATTTGAAAGCTCAACTGCTTTTTCCTTTGCAATTAAACATATAATTAATAATTTTCTAGTCTTACTAGGGAAAAATGCTGAATATAACATAACTGTACAGAGTCATGAGTTTTCTTGTACATATATTGACAGTGACTTAACTGACATTGGTTACTAGCTGGTGCACAATGTTCTGATGACCTTCCTTTAAAAGTTCCTCTTTCTGGCAGAAGTCTAAATTCATTCACCTAGTTGATGCTTCTTTTTGAAAACTGTACTCTTATTCCAAAGGTTATTAACATAATCTTTAAACTAGAAGAAAGGAAAAACATAATTCAATCTGCATATGAGAGAAATTGTTGAACAGTAATATTTTCTCTAGTACTTTGAGGCAACTAGGTGATGAAGTGGATAGAGCCCTGATCTGGTAGTTAGGAAGAATTGAGTTCAAATCTAGCCTTACATACTTAATAGCTGTATGATTTTGGGCAATTCACTTGACTTCTCTGTCCCAGACAGACTTCTCTCTGCCCTGGTTTCTTCATTTGTGAAATGGAGATAAAAGCACCTAGTTTTCAGGGTTGTTGTGAGACTCAAGTAAGATATTTGCAAAGCACTATATGAATTCTGGCTGCTGTTATTATTATTATAAAAGCCTCCTAATTATTCTTCCTACCTCCAGTCTCTGCACTCTCTGCTCTAGCCTCCGTTCAGCTGCCTAAACAATATTCTCAAGGTCCCTCCCCGATGTCCTCCCCTAGGATCTTCTGTGGCATCCTTTTATCTGTAAAATGAATTACATACTCCTCACCCTGGCTATTTAAGCTCTCTGTAATCTGATCTCAGCCAACCTACAGTTTATTTCACTTTCAGTTTTACGTAGTTTTTCTTCCAATCAAACTGTCTTAATTCTTAATTGCTGTCCCCACATTTGGCATTCCATTTCCCTTTTCCCTGCCCTTGCTCAGGCTGTCTGCATATGTGGAATGGGCTCACTCATCTCTGTCTCTCAGAATCTTTAATTTCCTTAAAGGCTCAGTTCAGATACCACCTCACCAGCCTTTCCTGATGTCTCCATTTGTTAGTGCCTGTATTTCCTAATCTAAGTACATATTGCATTTCCTGTAAGGTCCGTAATGGCAAGGCTTGTTTTCTTTTGTTTGTCTTTATATTTTAGCTTCCAAAAAGAAAGCCTTGGCTTGAATAGGTGGGAAAATGTGGGATGCAGAAACAGCAGGCCAGACTGGTTTAGGAAGAGAAAGTGATGCTCTAGAAGTGGGTGGGCCTGTTCTGGGGGCGCTTGTGGCCTGATCAGGATCCAGTGGGCCTGGATATCCTGGGTGCTGGGGTACCACAGTGGGACAACAATAACATGATGTAGTAGAGAGAGAATGGCTCTTGGCATTGGAGAGACCTGGGTGTGAATCCCAGCTCTGAAACATGGTTTTGTGAATTAGCTCATGTGGACTTGAGGAATTGTAAATTCCTCATTTTACGGGTGAGGATTACAGTACCTGTCTGTAGAGTCTATGTCACAGTGATTGTGCCAGCATCCAGTGGAGACAACAGGGAAATGTTTTGAGAACTTCATGATAGATAATAGATATATTGATGAATATAAGCTCTTATTAATCATTCATTTAGTTAGCAAACATTTATTAAATGTCTACTATGTGATGGGGATACAAAGAACAGTGAAAGAAGGATCCTTATTCCCCTGGAGCTCACATGCAAACAAGCAATATACAGAGAAATTGGAAATAATCAGTAGAGGGAAGTTGCTAGAATTAAGAGGGATTGGGAAAGGCTTCCTGTAGAAAAGGCGATTTTAACTGGGGCTTGAAGGAAGCCAGAAGGCAGAGATGAGGAGGGAGAGCCTTCCAGGCACGAGGGACAGCCGGTAGTCTGGTGCAGTAGTAGAAGCATGAAGTAATGAGTGCCTGAACCAGGATGATGGCATTGTCAGAGGAGAAAAGGGCAGCAAGCTGTGTGTTGGTAATGAAGGTAAAATGGACAGGCTTTGGCAACAGATTAGATATGAGGGGTAGGAAAGAGTGAGGATTCAAGGATGGAACCTCAGCCTGGGTGATTGGGTGGTTAGTGGTGTCCTCAGCAGTAATAGGAAAGTTGGGAAGGGGGGAAGGTTTAGGGGGAAAGATAATGACATCAGTTTTGGGCATGTTGAGTTTAAAATGTCTACAAAATATCCAGCTCAAGATTTATAATGGGCAGTTTGAGATGCAAGATGGTAGATCAGCAGAGTGGTAGCGCAGAATAATTAGATTTGAAAGTCATCTGCATAGAGATAATAATTGAATCCATAGAAGGTGATAAGATCGCCAAAGTGAAATAAAGTAAGACAAGAGAAAGAGGTCCAGGACAGAGCCCTGTGGGACACCTACTGTTAGAGGGCATGACCTGGATGAAGAGCCAACAAAGGAGACAGAAAAGGAGCTGTGAGATAAGAAATAAGAGACCTGCAGAGCAGGTATTCTGAAAACCTCAAGAGAAGAGAGTGCCCATGAGGGGAGAATGATCAGCAGTGTCAAAGGCTGTGGACAGGGCAAGGAGAATGAGGACTCAGAAAAAGCCGTTCGATTTGGCATCTAAGAGATCATTATGGAGAGCAGTTTTGGTTAAATAATGAGATAGGAAGCCAGACTAGAGAGTTAAGAGAGTGAGGGAATCCTGCCCAGGACCTTTTTTTTAAAAAATTTATTTATTTTTAGTTTTCAACATTCATTTTTGTAAGATTTAAATTTACCCCCCTCCCCCTTCCCAAGATGACTTGCAATCTGATATAGGCTATACATGTACAATCATATTAAACATATTTCCACATTAGTCATGTCGTAAAGAAGAATTAGAACCAAAGGGAGAACCAAAGAAAAACCTCGAGAAGGAAAAAACAAAAAAACAGAAAGAGAGAGAGAGAGAAAAGTATGCTTTGATCTGCATTCAGACTCCAGAATTCTTTCTCTGGATGTGGATAGCATTTTCCATCATGAGTCTTTCGGAGTTGTCTTGGATCCTTGCATTGCTGAGAAGAGCTAAGTCTGTCAAGGTTAGTCACTGCACAGTGTGGCTGTAACTGTGTACAGTGTTCTCCTGGTTCTGCTTCACTTCACTCAGTGTCAGTTCATTTAAGTCTTTCCAGGTTTTTCTGAAGTCTGCCTGCTCATCATTTCTTATGGAACAGTAGTATTCCATTACATTCATATACCACAGTATTTCCCAATTGATTGGCATCCCCTCAATTTCCATTTCTTGGCTACCACAAAAAGAGCTGCTATAAATATTTTTGTACATGTGCCTGCCCAGGATCTTACAAGTAGTAAACAGGAGAGCCAGAAACTGAACCCACATCTTCTGACTCCAAACTCAGCCCTCTTTCCACCGCACCCTGCTTCTAGATTGGTTTCCCACCCCTGGTTCAGAGTGTATTAGGTGGAAAGACTCAAGGGTTGAGACTGAGAGAATTAATAAATAGTTCATGTTCAGGAGAACTTTAAAGTCAGTGCAACTTTTTCCTCCTAACACCACTGTGAAGCCAGTCTTAGAATCATAGATTTGAGCTAGAAGGGAACTATAGGTGGTGATATTAACAACTCCCATTTAATAATGGCAGGGAGGGCGTGGTAGCTCAGCTAAGACACCAGATCAGTCAGTCCATATACATTTCCCAAGTGTCTGTTATGTGCCAAACACAGTGTTAGGTGATAGAGTCAAAATCAAAAATGATTTTGACAGGGTAGAAGTTTGGGCCAAGTTGAGTGAGATGAGGTTGAATAATGATAAATCTAAAGTCTTGGACTTTTTTTTTTCCAGGGAGGCAACTGGGGTTAAGTGACTTGCCCAGGGTCACACAGATAGTAAGTGTCAAGTGTCTCTCTGAGGCCAGATTTGAACTCAGGTCTTCCTGGCTGCAGGCCCAGTGCTCTATCCACTGTGCTACCTAGCTGCCCCTTAGACTTCTTATTAAAAAAAAAGTCAGCTGCTTTAGCATAAGATGTGGGAGCTGGGACTAGACAGGAGTTTGTTTGAAAAAGATCTGGTGTTTTCAGTGAAATGCAAGCTCAGAGAGTCAGTGATGTGATATAGCAGCCAAATCAGCCAGTGCCATCTCATCCTGCATTTAAAGCAGTGAG